CCCCCCTTCTTACTCTTCCAAGTAATTTACTGTTTTGCTCAACAGGTGCCATATTCGAAGAAAACGCTGTAAGAGATGACCAAATTTTCCAACTTGCCATCTCAGACCTGAGTCTGAGCGATGACATTCTGCAGAGCGAGAAAATCACCCACTCTGTGAAACTTATCCAGCCTAACAACCCTTTCCAGGCAGTGCAGGAAGGTAAGCGTTCCTCAACCACCCCCTCCCGCCCTTGGAATAAATTGCCGCTTCTTTTATTTTTTATTTTAAATCTGATAACTTGGGGCAGCGTGTGGGACGTCAGGAAGGGGGTCATCTTCTCTGCTCAGTAGCTATGATCAAGCAAGAAGTCCGGTGCTTGCTGCGTGGTAATCTTGACTGTCCTGATCTGCTGGTGCCCCAAGAGAATGTTGTTCATTCACACATTGAAGCGATGGCTAGTAGAGCGGGCAATGATGATGATTCATGCGCTTCTGTGAGCGAGGGAAATAGCTGTGTGTGCGTGCGCGTAGGCGTGTGTGTTTGTGTGTGCGTCGCCACCTGCAAAGCTCTCTTGCCACTGTACCAAAGCAAGGTGTCTTCTGTGGTTGAAAAGCTAGGTGGAAGCATTGAGTTAAGAGCACAACAGGACAAGATGTTATATGTGTATAAAAATCATGTGAAGACGATCAAATGAAGTTTCCCTACCAATCCAGGAGTTATGTAATGACAAGAGAGTAATATTTCTGGGTTTGCATGTCTCTTTGAATGGTAAACAATACAGTTTTGTCTACTTCTGTTGGCTTTCCCATACTATAGGTGCCTAGAATGGACACACGTCCACACATCAGACACCAAATTAATAATGAAATAATTTCAGTCAAGGTTATCTCACTCAGATGCTGAACAGACTGCAAAAGGCGATTAAACATTCTTCTGCTGAAATGAATCATTAAGACTTTAATAGGTTCCTGGGGATCTTCAAAAGCTGTTTATGTCCCCTGCACTTAGTTACTAGATCCTACTTTTGTCCCCAGTTGCACAAAGGCCTTGATGACTCATTGCTATTCATAGTGCCCCTGACAGGCAAAAAAATTATATTATGTCTCGCCTTTTGCTATAATTATCCCGTGTCATTTAGCTGAGGCTCTTAACAATGTCACAGATATCTAGTATTCTACTTTATATTTCCAAAAGCAAACTTTAATCCAGATGAGTCTTGACTCAAGCAGTCTGTCATTTGAGTTCTTTACATATACCAGAAGTATACCGTCATTATCCAGCTGCTGCTGCGGAGATAAGATGAAAAATGTGTTACAGACATATGACACTTGGCTAATTTATCAGTCGTTGTTGCTTGAGATGCAAAAATGTAGTAATTAAACTGACTGGCTAGCAAGTCATTCACCACTTGTACTTCAGTCTAATTAGTGTAGTTAGTCAAAGGTGGAACTTTACACCTAAACTTGTTCATGCTTAACTCATACCAATTACCTTAACAATGCTTTCTTTTGACAATGACCTTCACAGTATTTTAACACAACACAATGTCTACATAAACGCTTATAGACACACAAAGCTCTTGATAATCATTTTTCTTCACTGAAAAGCTTTTTATTTCTTATTGAAAATGATTCAGTTTATCTGAATAAACTGCCTTTCTTTACCCTTGATTGGGTATCATTTAGCACGCTTAATTATTGTTTATGGGCAGGCTCCCGCTAATTAAATATTTAAGTGGTTGATTAGAGGGCATTCAGTTTCTGCAGAGAGTTGGGAATAATGTGCAGTCGATGACATGAGGATCAATGTGCGGCCTCAGATTCTTGCACTATACACAAAGTAGGCTGGTGAACACTGAGTGACAACTGGGATAAGTTAACCTTTTGCTTTGCTCTTTTGTTCGCTGCCATCCTGCTGTGAGTGGCAGTCAGGACCTTGCCATAGCATGGTGTAGAGCGAGGAGAGCAGAGGTGGGTATAAAGAGTGAGAGGGACGAAGAGCAAAAAAAGCGACTGTGTGTGTGTGTGTGTGTGTGTG